TGTTCTGCCTTGCTTTCTTTCAAAAGCCGGAGATTTCCAAGCAGTTTCCCATCTGGGCTGTAATCCGGCTGTTACCTTGGATAGAATGCAAAAAAGATACATAACGTTGTGCAAATGAAATCTTACAAACCATGTATTTACATTGTATGAAGCTTTGAAATACTTTTTTATTTATTTATTTTTAATTAAGAGATGAGGTCACTGGCCTTGTCTCCTGCTGTTACACACCTAGGTAAGGGATGAGAGCAGTTTCTTCCTGGTTCACTACAGACACATTTTAGTACTGTGTGAAATATATATTTAATCTCAGTGACAGACTAACATCAAAGGATGATCAAGCATTACTCAAAGAAGGCAAATGTGTGTCTTGGCAAGAATTCATATAGGGATGCAGTTAGGCTTATCTGAAAAAGGAGGGCAGAAAGATCTATGTAGGAAAAAGTAGTAGTTTTCTGTAGCTAACATGATTTTCAAAGTAGTGAAAGACAAGTTTAGGCAGTGGCCTCAGAAGAGTCTTGCATATTGTCACTGACAGTCCATCATACCCTGAAACAGTGGGGATATGATAAGAACCAGATGATATAAATTTCTTAACCAAACTCAGCAGTTCATATTATCTGGGAAATTACTGTCTTAAATTATTTATCAGTACCTTAGGTCCAACAAGAGTTTAAGTGCATTTTTCACTATTTGTATTGCTGTTTAATCTAGGGAACACACTGGGTGCTTGAAAAATACGGCCTCAGCAGCATTTTACTGGGGTGGAAGACTGGATGCCTCAGAACCAAAGTTAAACAACATGATCTGCATTTATACACACTCCTTCCTATGTCACACTGACAGTTGAATTCTGTTTGTAACACTGTTACAAACAAAGTTTTACATTCATTTTCAGTATGTGACTAAGATTTATTTTTTTAAAGTTGAACTTATATTACAGACCTTAGGACATGAACAGAAGTTGTGCTACTCTTCGTGTTTCTGCCTCTGTGTACCCAAACGTGTTTTCACACACATGGTTTTAGAAGAAATGTAGTTCTTATCAGGGGTGTGACTCCTGGATGTCCATGTAGCTGTAGTGATTTAAGGAGATATGATACTTGTGTTTTTCACATACTATTCCAGATAGCTTATTTCTCTCTACTGTGTGTTAGTGGAAAGGGTAGGAAAAACCTCTTAATGCCTGAATACCTGAAAACTCTTTAATAAATTTGGAAATTACTGTTAAACACTAAACCTGGATTTTTTTAAAAAGTCAAATTGGATACTCTTTTGTCTTACTTGGTTAAGTCAGATTACTTTTGTTTGTATTATAAGAAGTTTACTTGTAGTTTAAAGACTTTTTTTTTTTTTACTTCTTAAGCATCTTCACCTGAGTACCTTGTTTCCAGTGATTTCATTTTTGACACATGATCCTTTTTTGCTTTCTGGTCCAATAGCACAAAATGTTCATCCTCTTTATCATTAAGCTACTCTTTGGGACTTCTCCTGCCTGTTCCCGCTTTAGCTGAGGGGTTGGATGGTAGCTGCAAGATCGCTATCAGATTAAGTGTGTATTAGGATAATAAGGTACTAAGAAAGAGCTGGTTTTGATTAGTATTAGCAGATTTATTTGTTTTATGTGGGTCATTGATTGCAGGTAACATTTCTGACTTGATGCTCTTGATGTCAGGATATCCTGAGTTTTGTGTGGACAAAACAGTGAGTGTTTCATGGGAAGCTCAGGCTGAGACCCTCCCTAGAATGGACAGAAGGGATAAAGCAGGTCTTCTGGTACCAGCAGCAGGGCATAATGAATCTTGATGACTGCATTTTACGTCTTTAACATACACTGGCATTTTGAGAAACACCAGTCTGGAGTACCTCTGGCAGAGGTAAAGGACTTTTTTCTAAGAGGGGGGTGTTACTTAAAGTGAGACTTAAAGGCTTTAAGTGGTGGCAGCTTTATTCCTTGCAGCTTTAGGAGCATGTACCCCCCCTTTACTTTTTTTCTCCCTTTTTTTTTTTTCCCTCTGTTTACTCATTATGACAGGAACTTTAAGACTTCACAGGAATACTGTAGCAGTTCTTGCATTGCAGAACTCAACTGTCACTTTAATATTAAATTTTAAGTTCAGTTCATTTTTCTGAAAGTAGGTAGAAATTACTAACTACCCTTATAAGCTACTTTTGAAAAAGTCTGTGCTTAACAGGAAATTCTTAGCTAGTAATTTCTATATATCCTTCAAAGCTGGAATAGACCTGTAGTGGACAATTGTCTTCAGATTAAAAATGACTTTTCAGGCATTTCTAGAATTTCAAGCTCAACCTTACCCATGTAATTCACAGAAGGCAAAACCACTTTACTTTCTTTAACATTAAACGTGGATGGAGTTGAAATGAATTATGTTTATTTCACTTGTTGAAAGAAAACTTGGAGCCTGTTCCAGTTTGGGATCACGTGTTTTCTGGGAATATATAGGTCTTATAACCAATCTTGGAATGAAAGTAACAGGCTCATAGGTCTCCTCTGGGTGAAATTACAATTTATGTTGGGAAAATCTGAACCCTTTTTGAATGTCTAGCAATGCTGATGCCTATAATTTATGGTGAGGTAAGAGTAATTGGTTCACGTGACTTTACCTTGCAACCCTTTTTAATTATGTCTTTGGGCTTTCAACCAGTGGTGAATGATCAGGACATGCGTCCATCTGTAGTTTGAAGGTATTTGTTTTCTTGTAAACTAGAAGCACAGACATGTGTTTTCTCCTTCAGAGACCAAAAGTGCAAACACACATTTGCATTTTATAAAAACTACCCTTCAGAAAGCAGTCAGGTGAAATAACCTTAGTAAATTACAGTGCCTTCTCCTACCTCATGTGTAAATGTTAAGGAGATCTAGAGACTGGTACACATCTGGCCATAGTTGAAATTTGATGAGTTATGTAACTTTAGTTTTTACATTTACCCTTGCAATTATTGCATTGAAATCAAAAATATTTGCATTTTAATAAAGATAAGATAAAATGACAATGTAAAATAATTTTTTTACGCACATTAGACAAATCCGGTATCATCTCTCATAGACTAAATTAATGTTCTGTTGTTGCTTATGAATAACAATATTCAAGACTGGTATATTTTGCCATATTACGTTACCAAATTTCTACATAGCTTCACTGAAGGTAAAATTATTTCAGTGTTGAGCTCTCTCAAATAATCCATTAGGTTGCCATCAATCAAGAGGCTCTGGTCAGTATGCCTCCTGGCAGCCAGGAGGGCCAACCATGTCCTGGGGGGCATCGGGCAAAGCATTACCAGCTGGTCAAGGTAAGGGATTGTCTCGCTCTGCTCTGCACTGAGGTCGCCTCATCTTGACTATTGTGTGCAGTTTTGGGCGCCACAGTACAAGAAAGATACTAAGCAATTAGGAAGTGTCCAAAGGAGGCTGAAAGAGATGGTGAGGGGCCTTGAGGGTAAGCCGTATAAGGTATGGCTGAAGCCACCTAGTTTGCTTAGCCTGGAGAGGAGACCTCATTGTGGTCTACGGCTATTGCATGAGGGGAAGCAGAGGGGCAGGCACTGATCTCTTCTCTGTGGTGATCAGTGACAGGACTCAAGGAAACAGTATGAAGCTGAGTTGGGGGAGGTTTAGGTTGAATATCAGGAAAACATTTTTCATGCAGAGATTGGTTGAACACTGGAATGGCCTCTCCAGGGAAGTGGTCACAGTTCCAACCCTGTCTGAGTTCACAAAGCATTTGAATGATACTTTCAGGCACATGGTGTGACTCTTGGGGTGTCCTGCACAGGGACAGGAGTTGGTCTCAATGATCCTGATGGTTCTTTTCCAACTCAGCATATTCTATGGTACTGTGAAAGCTGAAGTTGATTCATGTAACATGAACTAGCTGTGATGCTTGCTAATGTTTCTCTGTTGAAGGTGAGTCACTTAAGTCTCCCTTGTATAGTTGTTTAGCCTTCTTATTTATTTCGAATACACTTAGAAATTATTCACTAGTACTGTTGCACAGCACAAATCAAGCTTTGAAGGAGAATACTACCTGGTCTCCATCAGATACAGATATTTCACATGCACCTGTGCGAGATTATTCAGGTTTTTTCAGCACAACCATGTTGACCATGAGGAACAATATCTGTCTAAACTGTTAAATCATTTGTGTCCATATGAATCTGTGTCTGAGTTGCATTTGCACGAATGAAAATGAAGTGCTAAATACAGATATAGCTGCTTTATTTGGGGCAGTATTGCTGTACATTTATGACTTAATCCTCAAAGAGCTGAGTATTTCTGAATCTGTCAGTGCTGCTTCTTTATAAGGTTCTTTCTGCACAACCACTGGCACTGCCTGGGTCTGTGCCTGACATTGCTTAACCAGCTCTTCAGGTAACTTGCACTTTCTTTTTTAAGCTCTCAAATACTAGGGATAAAATAGTTAGAGAAACCTTAGTCCAGCAAGTTTTATAGGAGATCTTCAGGCAGAGACAAAATAATGATAGTTCCAATTCCTTATGGTGAGTTTGTGAAAGTGATTATCTAGAATGCCTTTGTATCATGTTGATTCACTTTGTTGTGTTTCAGTTTTTTCTTAAGACCGTCTTCCAAGACACCTTTCAGTATGCCCTTTCATAGTTTCTAAAATAGCAGCTCAATTTCAGAGCAAAGTTTCTGATGTCTATAATACTCTAACTCTCTCTTTTAATCAGAAAAAATCCTTTGTCTCATTGTTGTCCAAAGTGCTCCTTTAAAATGGTCTTCACTGCCTTCAAACTGAGACAAAGTAGGATATTCAAGGGATGAAAGTGAATTCATACACCAATCATGACTAAAGAACTGGCTGCCAATCAGTAGGCATGTCAGAGAAGAACAGGTTTATTCAATTTATTCAGTGCTTTCAATAACTAGGATGATTTTTTTAAGAAAAACCCACATTAAACCAGCAGCAGTATTTTTTTAACCTTTCTTTCCTGATTCTTTTTTTCCTTCTCCCTCTCTTCAGAGCTCCAGAACAGCTCGCTCAGAGGAAGATCGAGACTCACTGTGGGATGCCTGGGGCTCATGGAGTGAATGTTCACGCACTTGTGGAGGAGGGGCTTCATATTCACTGAGACGCTGTCTGAGCAGCAAGTAAGCGTCTGAATGATTTTTATTTTATTGATGGGAAAACTCAACTTATTTGTATGTATTAGACCATAAGAAGTATTCAGTAGAGCTCTTGAACTACATTGAAATTTCCAGCTCGGTGTGAAAGAATTCTGATGTCTTTCAATTCAGGCAAGCAGCCAGCATGCTTGATAACACCCTTGGTAACACCCTTTAAAATACAGCAAGAGATAAAAAAGTAGCTTGGACAGCTTACAAGGCTTCCAGCTGCTGAAATTGAAACCTCCTTGCATGTTCACCATTTAAGTGGTAAGACTTCTGCACTTGTGTCAGGAACAGATAATTCACTAGGTTTAGTAGCCCATCGTCTCAGCCACGCTGGCTGTAAAAGCACTGCATTGGTCAAATGTGGCTTTGTGCGCTGCATAAGTGTGCAGAGCATATCTTACATATTCAATTTCAGGTAGGAAGTCTTCCATACCAGCAAAGCCCTCCCAACAAGCAGAAGTAAAATGGCCTGGTACAAAAGTGAAGCCTGGGTACCCAATCAGGCATCTGGGATTTTATTCCTCCCCAGTTACTAGCTTGCAACTGAACATGAACAAGTCATTTGATGTCTTTTCCACTCTACAGTATATGCAAGTTTTACCTACAAAATATTTCTAGCAAATATTTTTTCTGTCTACTTTAGGAAAATATTTACCTGAAGTAAACATGGTATATGTGATAAATATTAACAGATTTCTGATATGACATATGTATGACAGAAAACTCAAGACCCAAAATTTATGGTTCTTGCCATCTGTGATACCTTATATGTTGTAGTAACAAAAATGTGATAAAATTTTCCATTTCTTTCTTTTGTATTTTCATTCATGTGCTTACAAAATTAGTGTTAATGCAACAAAGGGTGACCATACAGTCCAAGTAATTTCCTGTGTCTAATATTTTAATACATGATGTTGTTTAGTGAAGATAGGAAACAGGGCAAAGCATTGAACCATAGCATCAGAATATTGAATATTGTGTGTTTTAGCTTTATCTGTGGACAGTTTGGTCTCCTAGTACAAGCATTTATTGAGTTGACCATGTGCAAAAGTCTGCTTGAAGAAAAGACAGGCAAAGGCATCTACTGGAGTGAGTGGAAAACCAGTACTTTCTTATTCCATTCCCATGGCTTAAAAAAAAAAAAAAATTAAGTTGAGGTGTGGGGGCAAATTCTTATTTCTTGTTAGTTTCATACCAATGTGTGATTCTGCATTCACCTCGAAATCTGAAATTGCAGAGACTAGAGCTTAGTTCTAATCACAGTTTATACTTTTCCATATTTAAAAAAATAAATGATCTTCAAAGATGTTGCTTCCATGTATGAACCCAGGTATATCAAGAGATCTGGGTAATCTGAGCAATACAAGGGCTTGCTGACTATATATCTGCTCCCTCACTGAGAACTGTCTCCATAGTTTCTAGAGGGCAAGCCTTGGATTCCAAGCAGCAGCAGTAGCAGTTGTAGTCCTCAATAGTATGTGAGTATAAACCACTCCTCCCGGCCTCTAAATCTTGTACTGTTCAGGACTAAAGCTGCTCTAGTGAGGAAGGGGATGAACTCATAAATCACATAGAATAGCTTCTTGTACAATACTTTACTACTATCCCATTAGGACATAAGCAATCTTTTTGCCTTAAGAAACCGAATGCTAACTATGGCCCTTTCAGACATGGAAAAACCCCACTGTTTACAGGACAGAATGCAGGGGGTTAATAAGGTATGGGAGGTTAATTTGGTTTTTGTAGACAGTAGCAATAAATCAATCATAAGTAATAACATTTGACCTGTAATTAGCACTGTATGAAATGAGTGATAGTTTTTCCTTCTCCTTGGTCTGTGTGCAATTTTTAATTAGTAAAAGGTTTAAATTATAACCTTTTCTGCTAGGCAAGGATTCTAAGTTGCTAAAATAAAGGCAGAGAGGGAGCAGGGGAAAGAAATTCATCCAAGGTTTGCAAATAAACTGTGCACAAGTGCTTCAAACCTGGCAAGGCTAGAACAAAATGTCCACCTCTAAGGGACAATTTCTTCATCATACAGTTTATCTTATGTATTTGTTTTGTATAATTTCACTGCAGCATGAGGGAAGATACTAGATACTTCTGGCAAATGAAAACAGGCAGGAGATGTTTTGGAAAAAATTAGGATTAAATATTTCTCATCCTGGAAGGAATGTTCATAATGCCTAGTGTCTTTTAGTTCTGTATGAGGTGACTTTAGAACATCTCATGAATAGGGACAGCCCAATGCATCTGCTTTGAAGAAATGCCCATTCGTAAATATGTTGGTATGTATATAGCTAAGTAAAGGAAACCAGTTTTCTTTCCAGCTTTTGTTTGCCAAAGTTATGTTAGTGCTTGTGTTGTTTGTTTTGGGAACATGTTTTGTGTTAGGCCTTCACAGCTGTAATGAAAGAATGGAAAGTGTTAGTGAGAAATTCTGTTTTCTAGTGTTTTAGATAGCAAAAATTTCAGAGTGGGGCTGTTTAACAGTATATTTCATTAGAACAACTAGTTCTGATTATGCTAAGGACATAATGATAGTGGTATAAAAAATGTGCCAGTCACATAAGCAGATGGGAGTTGCCAGCCCAAGTCAATTGTATGTCCTGGTATGCCATGCTGACAGCAAGCAGCACTGGATCACTCCAGGGACAGAATAAGCCCCAGGAAAATAAAAAATTGTTAATTTGTAGTTAAACCTCAAAGGATGACACTTGTCATGCTCTTTATTTGCATAAACTCTTTATCACTTTTGATACTATAATTTACACAAAAGGTCAGAACCCCTTAAATGTTACTGGGTTTTGCCTCAACTCATTTAAAAGTGAACTCTCAGACTAATTACATACTGTGTGAAGAGATAATGATTTTTACCATATTATCCTTCTACGGTGTTTTGCCTTTTGGTTTTCCTATCTTTATTTTTTGTTGTTTGGATATAAAGCTCAGAAAGAGAAACTCCTTATCTGTCTCCTCTTCATCATGAGCTGCCATTTAGAACTACTGGTCAAACCCTGTAGAGAGGAGAACCACAAACCACTCCTATTTTTCTTGAGAATTTATAAAATCTCTTATGCTAAGTTCACCCATCCTGGCCCTAAAAATATTGTGTGTTTACTGAAATTTCACTTTACATATTGACAAGTACTACAGTAATAGAGGTAGGGTTTTGCTGTTTCTAGGCTTGGCAAGAAGACAGTTATTCTTTTTCTTATCATCTTCCTAATTCACCATCGCTTTATAGTAAAATAAGGCTTAGGTGGAAGAAGAATATGATGTCCTAGAGTTTTGCAAATTATTTCTGTGGATAATAGATAACTACCCTATTTTTCAATCTGTTTTAAAACCCTTCATGTTGCTGTTGCTACTGTTTATGAAAAAATCATGAAGCAGAGAACAGTTTGCCTGAATGTGTAGCAGACTGCTAAACAAGTTATAACGTCCCATGGATACTGAATCTGAGCTAAATGGCCATAATTTGAAATCATCACTCTTACCTCTGGGAAATAGTGTTTAAACTACTGAAGAAAGTGCAATATCCTTTCCACTAGCTCTGCTTGCTAAGTTTGACTGTTCAGCCCATTGCACTCTACAGAATGAAAACAGTAGATCTGCATAAATGACTCTCATCTTTATTGTAGTTTGACTTGGTTGGTCAGTAAAATAACAACCAAGACATACCTTTGAAAGTTATTTGAAAACTAGTGAAATTAGCTAAAATTAAGTCAATTTTATGGTGTGTGCCTTAGATGGAAAAAACCCAAAATAAACTGATTTTTTTTTTCATTCAGGAGTAATATTTTCTCAAATTGATGACACACATTCAAAAAAAAGTTCACAAATCAAGCGTAGAATGGTTTGGTGTCTGTCAGACAAGGATGGAGTAGATACATTTTATTCATATTGGTTCAAAGTTAAATAAAGAGAGTAAGAAACCATTAAAACAAATCTGACTAGTGCTGAAAACAGAATACATAAAATACTATATATTTGAAAAAATACCATTATAAGTTTCATCTGTATAACTTTGATACCAAAATGTTGTCTATTATTGCTGCTTCATAACCGAATTTGTACTACTGACTGTAGTCCAAGCATGTGGTTGTGGCTATCCAAGCCTTTTTTCAGGCTGCAGGCACAGACTCATCTGTCTCAGGACATTGATTGACAGAGACTCTGAAGTTTTTCCCATCTAACATTGATAAAAGATCCTTTAAACTTTCTGAGTGAAAATTACAATGGAAAAATCATTCTAGATTTTGGGTTGCCTCATTGTCAACTAGAAGCTAATATACATTACTGCAGTTATCGTGTAATGATGTAAATTCAGCCTGCTCTGTCCTGGCACTGCTAAATAAGGCAAATTAGGCCACTTTATGAAATGTTTCCTTTAATCTGGGATTAGTGAAATCTGAATATTTTCTGGTTTCATTTGATGGAGAAGCTTTCCCCCTTTTTTTTTTTATTTTTTTTTTGAGAGAGATGACAGCTCTAACTCTTCCCAGTGGCAGAAGCAGCAAGGAGCAGTCTTAAACTTGAGTCAATGTGTCAATATTATAAGAAGCTGCAAATTCCACATAATATTGTGATCTGTGGAGTGGGTACTGCTAGTCTTCAGAGAACCAGTTAGCCACACTGTGCTGGCTGTCCTAATTTCTGACTTCTGCACCTCTTCGAACTATCTAAAAATATATAAAGTGCTTTCATAGTGCTATTTCCCCATGTAATACCTTGCTAGAGCTGGCACAGGGATGTTGCATGTTAGTGTGTTAGGTGATAAACTGATTAGAGGAATGAATGCTAATCAGTGTTGTACCTACAAGTGAATGATGGATATGGTCTCCATATATCCATCTCTGTATTGAGAAGTAGCCTACCTAACAAAAATGTCTGTGAAGCCTTCACTTGGATGATATACTGTTCGTATATCTGGTTTCACTGGAAGAGACTTGTCTTTGCATAAGTCTTTCAAT